CAAACAAACAAACAAACAAACAAACAAACAAACAAACAAACAAACAAACAAAACAAACAAACAAACAAACAAACAAACAAACAAACAAACAAACAAAACAAACAAACAAACAAACAAACAAACAAACAAACAAACAAACAAACAAACAAACAAACAAACAAACAAACAAACAAACAAACAAACAAACAAACAAACAAACAAACAAACAAACAAACAAACAAACAAACAAACAAACAAACAAGCAAACAAACAAACAAACAAACGAACAAACAAGCAAACAAACAAACAAGCAAGCAAGGAAACAAGCAAACAAGCAAAAAAGCAAAAAAGCAAACAAACAAACAAACAAACAAACAAACAAACAAACAAACAAACAAACAAACAAACAAACAAACAAACAAACAAACAAACAAACAAACAAACAAACAAACAAACAAACAAACAAACAAACAAACACAAACATCATAATCAGGTTATAAGATTGTATAAAACATTATCAGAAAGGTACAAGAGACAGTTTTTGCAGGCAGCGAAGGCAAAGATATAATTATCAGCACGCATACGCGCACATAACTTCGCATTTTTAAATCACTTTTTCAGTTTCCGCGCTGTTTCGTGCTCAATTCTTTGCACAAGACAATACAATTCAGTATATAACAAGAACTTACCTTTTCTTTTACAAATGAAAGCTGGTTGTTTTACGTTAGAAGATGTTCTTTTGTAGGTAAGACGTGGAGCTAGTTGAGTTTTCCAAGCAATAAAGTCATTTGGTGTTCCATCTGTCCATTTATTAATATCATGACCAATGTACGTTAAGGCACTCCTTGTAACAAGACCCTTGAAAAGAGGAAAATTGGGAATGAGCGCACAGTTTCTTGTCCAAATCCTGTTGAATTCGTGGAAAGGACAAATTAATCGTTGTTTTCAGGAAAAAAAAAGATGCACATTACTCAAATACCATGCACATGCTATTTGTCTGTTTTGTCATAGCCAATTTTCGTCCGCCCTCGAAAATGTAAATGGTAAATAAAATATTGAATTGTATACCTTAATGAAATTAAGCTCTTGTTGTGAATGAATGCTTGTCAAATGTCCTCCCCATTTAACACATTCTTGCTCAGCTCTATAGAAGTCTACCCAATGAACAGACGTATGTGTAGGAGTGACGACGTAGCGATATTTATAACCATTATAATCTACTATTCTCTGATATCCAATAACCAAACTTGGTACTAAAAATTAGTATAAATTCAATAGTTAATATCAGTATAAAAACATATATATGTGGATATAAGTTAATGCTAAATTAATGAAAGTAGCAAAAGAAAAGGCAGTAAAGTAGATTTAAATTTACATTTCCTCTTGCAGATGAAAGCTGGTTGTTTTAGGTTAGAAGATGTTCTTTTGTAGGTAAGACGTGGAGCTAGTTGAGTTTTCCAAGCAGTAAAGTCATTTCGTGTTCCATCTGTCCATTTATTGATATCATGACCAACGTACGTTAAGGCACCCCTTGTAGCAAGACCCTTGAAAGAAGAAAAACTGGGGATGACCAGAGGTCTCTTGCCCAGACTTCTCGGGAACATGCACCGCTAATCCACCTCAATTGAATACTACAAATTATTTAGAATGCCGACCTTGGTTCGCCCTTGAAAAAGTAATTGGTATAAATAATATAAAATTTACCTTAATGAAATTAAGCTCTTGTTGTGAATGAATACTTGTCAGATGTCCTCCCCATTTCACACATTCTTGCTCGGCTCTATAGAAGTCTACCCAATTAACAGACGTATGTGTAGGAGTAACAACGTAGCGATATTTATAACCATTATAATCTACTATTCTTTGATACGCAATAACCAACCTTGGCACTAAAAATTAGTATAAATTCAATTGTTAGTATCAGAATAAAAACATATATATGTGGATATAAGTTAATGCTAAATTAATGGAAGTGGCAAAAGAGAAGGCATTAAAGTAGATTTAAATTTACATTTCCTCTTGCAGATGAAAGCTGGTTGTTTTAGGTTAGAAGATGTTCTTTTGAAGGTAAGACGTGGAGCTAGTTGAGTTTTCCAAGCAGTAAAGTCATTTCGTGTTCCATCTGTCCATTTATTGATATCATGACCAACGTAGGTTAAGGCACCCCTCGTAGCTAGACCCTTGAAGAAAGAAAAGCTGGAAATGAGCGGAAGGTCTCTTGCCCAGACTCCTTGGGAACATGCGCTGCTAATCCACCTCAATTGAATACTACAAATTATTTAGAATGCCGACCTTGGTTCGCCCATGAAAAAGTAATTGGTATATAAATAATATAAAATTTACCTTAATGAAATTAAGCTCTTGTTGTGAATGAATACTTGTCAGATGTCCTCCCCATTTCACACATTCTTGCTCGGCTCTATAGAAGTCTACCCAATTAACAGACGTATGTGTAGGAGTAACAACGTAGCGATATTTATAACCGTTATTATCTACTATTCTCTGATACGCAATAACCAACCCTGCTGGTACTGAAAATAGAAAAATTTAATAATTTTATAACATTCTTGGCACACGAAACAATTATTGTCTATAATTATACCACGACTATAAATCAATAATTTAATACTTCTACAATTCAGCAAGTTAGTGGAACTAGCATATAAAAGGAGGCAGTAAAATAGATCTAAATTTACATTTCTTCTTGCAGATGAATGCTGGTTGTTTTAAGTTAGAAGATGTTCCTTTGTATGTAAGACGTCCTCGTTGTGTTTTCCAAGCAGTAAAATCATTTGGTGTTGCATCTGTCCATTTATTAATATCGTAGCCAATGTACGTTAGGGCATTCCGCGAAGCAAGACCCTTGAGAAAAGGAAAAATGGGAATAAACACACGGTCTCTTGTCTGTATTTCTTCTTGGGTTAGATTCACCAGTCGTACCCTGGTTCCAGAGGTTCTTTGCGAGGCGAAATAGACGAGAGGCGAGAAGGAAGAACCTCTGGTCACATCGGTTGCAAATTCCTCTTCCACACTTGATTAGCTTCAGAATTTGAATCTCGTATGTGATTGGCCGTTTGCAAAAACATGTCAAACCGGTTTGGGAAATAAACAAGCTAATTATAGCTTTTATAGCTATAACAACCTGCATGAGCGTTTTTACGCGTGTAGTGGATGTGAAAAGAGTCAGTCAACGCTCTGTCGAAAGTCGTAGGTTTTATCCGGGCGGTTTGGTTTCCTCCCACAAGGAAAGTTGACAGGGTGGGTTAGAATAAACATAGTTACTTAGGAAAGTAATATCACAATTGTTGTAAAAATAAATAGTCTAAGCTTAGTAGGTAATATAAGTAAGCGTAATACTTGATGTAATCGGTCACTGAAAAGCCTCGATGGGAAGTGAGCTGAATAATCATAATCATCAATTAGCTTACAGTAATGTTGTTTTCCCAAACCGGTTTGACATATTTTTACAAACAGCCAATCACATGCGAGATTCATATTCTGAACCTAATCACATGTGGAAGTGGGATTTGCAACCAATGTGCGACCAGAGGCTCAACGTTCTCGCCTCTCGTTTATTTCGCCTCGCAAAGAGTCTCTGGAACCAGGATACACAAGTCCTTATTTTGAGAGAAAAAAGTGGTGCATTTTATTTGAATACCACAAGTTAATTATAATGGCCTACTCAATCTCGTTCCCCGAGCCTGCGATCCTTGGGAAGGAAACGAAGGCTCTGGGATAATCCATCTCAGACATACAGAAAACTGTATGTCGACCGAACTGCGCATGCGTGGGCAAAAGCAAAACAAATTGTTTGAAATATTTTATTGTTTCGTCTATAAAATGATGATTTTTTCTGGACTTTGGTGGAAATGTTGATGTTCTTCATAGTGGGATACAAAAGGTGTGTTAGCGACTGAATAAGGAAAATATTGCGTGTGAAACAGGGTCAGTATAGAGCCGGCAGGAGCCGCGAAGAGTGCTGTTGTCGAAGAAAAATGTCACAATTAATTGTAATCTTGTCCATTCACCTCTGTGTCAGTTTGAAAAAGCTTTAAATGTAGAGACATTTGTGGTTCCTCCAGCATAATTTAGCCGTTTAACGCTACTATGTTTCTAATGGTTGAAAGAGCGCGTGGAAAGGGCAATTTTCAAGAACAAAAACAATTACAATAGTGTGTGTTTAATAATTGCTACTGTAGTATTAAAATACCTGAAGAGAGTCTCAATTCTAATATTAAGTCGGTTATAAACCTTGATAATATTAAAGTTTTCAGAATATTTGTATATCAGAGAATATTAAAAGGAATTTAGACATATAAAACATATAATTAAAAATATGAATATAGTGAATTCCATGTTTGTATTGTGTTTAATATCATCTCTAGAAATTAACAGTTTATAAACCAAATCCTTGTTATATTTTTAACTGCCCTTATATGCAACAGCACTTTTCAAATTATTGAATTATAACCAAATTGTAGCATTCAGGGGTGTCGCTAGCCCAAATTGTCAGACATTTGGCAATTTATTGTATTGGCAATCGGGAAGTTGTTTTCGTGGCCAGCATGATTTGAATTGGAAAGGAAGGGAAAAACCGAAATATACGAGTTTTTGTTGCCCCTCCCCTTCTCAGAGTAGGTATGTGTTGTTTTATAGTATAAATAACAAGTTTTGATATTGCAATCAAACTGACAGGGTAGTTGTCATGACCATGGTAATGTGGCTCGGCATTTATATTGGGCATTTTTTTATCATTCATCACAAAATTATATCTGCATCCTAGGTGGTTCCCTGCAGGGGGTCATAACCAGGGGGAAGCTGATGAAAATGAATTCTGGTTTTGGTGGCTGATCACTGTCATTTAATATGAATAGAACATTTCTTAAAAAAAAGTATATGAATTTATTAAAAATATTTATATGGTCTCCCAATCTGAAATTCATACTTTGTAACATCTGGATCAAAAGGTTTATGATGTTTTCTTGGACAGAATCCAATTAATACAACCTCGTACAAGGGCAGGGCCGGCTTCTTTGAATTACTGTGTGGACAAGATTAACAAAGGGATTGGCAATTTGGCACATTGTGCTACTCAATAAATTAAAATCATTAAATACTTTATGCTACAATTAGCTGTCAGTAATATTATACTGTATATTATTGTGTTTCATATGACTTCATAAATTTGATGGGTGGTCAACTCTAAATCGAGACACAGTCATCAGAGTGAATTGATTTTTCACTGTATGTGTTGGCCTTGTGTTTGGTAGCAAATACATGTAATTTCATATCATTTGCTCACTCCAGTACAACATAAGCATCAATACATTTATTTTTTAGGTTGACCCCCCATCAGAACCAATGACAGAATGTGCAAAATGCCATAGTGAAACCCAAGAATTCATTATATGTATTATGCAGTATGCACCTATCAATGTTAAGCCCCAGAGGAGGGGGGGGGGGGCGGGCACAGGTGGGGCATTTGATTTTTAGAGCAAATTTTCAATGAAATGCCCCACCGTTGGGCAATAAATATTGGTCAAATGCCCCACCATTTTGCAATAAATTGAAATAAATACTATGTTAATAAAAGTCATTCATTCGGTTCAAATTGCCCCAACTCGGGGCCAAAATGCTATTCAAAATCCCCAGGGTGGGGATGCAATTGATGATCAAATACCCCACATATGCCCGACCCCCCCCCCCCCCTCTGGGGGTTAACATTGATAGGTGCATTAGGTGTATGCAGACTGGAATACAAGTTAATATCACTGCCTGTGAAATTGTGGTTTATTTAGAGAATAAAGGTTTTTTGAACTCTTCTATAAATAAATTATAACAGCAAAAGATTCATATGCACCCATATAGGGAAGGCTACATGCTACAAGTTAAAATGAGTTAAAATTACATACTACTGCACTTGAAAAGTTTACAGCACAGTATATACATTAAATAATAAAATATATAACAGTAAATCCCAAGATTGGATTTATTGAAACTAGTCATTAACTAGTTCTTCGCAATTAAATAACACAAAGACAAATTAATAAAAGTTATTAACCATTTCTGACACAAATATTATTTGCAAAATATAGCACATATTTGATATTATAGTATTAAATAAAAAGTCTATGAAGATTTCTAGTAGGTCTGTAGCCCAACATCTTCAAATTATTGTAATATATTTTAAGTAGATTTTTATACATGGGAAAATAAAATTTAAAAAAATAGTTAAATAGTACAGTGTACTGACAGTACTGTATACTATGTATAGATTAAAACTACAGAAAACCTGTACAACACAAATATGAGTAAAGTTTTCACGCTCCATTTAACTGTTGTGATATTATACGCATTAAGTATACGTTTCTTTGCATTTCCTTTGTAGTATTAGTATATAGCACAGCTCTGAAAAACCAAAACAATATTCGTACACTCCTAAACGGCCGCCATGTTGTATATAAAAATATACGGTTAAAAATTAATTTTTGCAAAATTGCAACATTCCATTGTATACCAGCAACCAATCATATTAATTTCTGAGATGGATTATCCCAGAGCCTTCGTTTCCTTCCCAAGGATCGCAGGCTCGGGGAACGAGATTGTGGCCTACTTTGATCCGGTCTCGAAAATATAAATGGTAAACTAAATATTAAATTATTATACCTTAACGAAATTAAGCTCCTGTTGTGAATGAATACTTGTCAAATGTCCTCCCCATTTGACACATTCTTGCTCAGCTCTATAGAAGTCTACCCAACGAACAGACGTATGTGTAGGAGTGACAACGTAGCGATATTTATAACCATTATAATCTGCTGTTCTTTGATATGCAATGACCAACGCTGGTTTAAAGATAAAAATAGAGGTGTATTCGTTCAATTAATTGGGAACACAGTATTAGCTGTTCCCAAAGAATGCAAGTGCGAGTGATAAAATCCTATAAACAAAA